CGACATGCCAGTGGAGTCCTCTCATTTGAACCGTTACAACATCGTATCATATGCAAGTGTCAGGGGCATTCCATCAAAATAAACATGACCCAAGCATATGTTTGAAGAAGTATGGTCTGGGAGGATTCCAGCACACATTCATATATAAAAATAACCGGAAGAGAATGGGGGAAAAAAAAGAGACAGAAAAACAAAGACTTTAACAAAACAACATATCTAAAAACATTTTATAAAATAATAAAGCGATAATCAATGCAAACAATTTTTTTTTTCAGGATCATCTTTCCACACATGCATGCCTTCTTACTCTTCTCAACTTAGACAGCAGGCTTCGAACTAGAACAAATGAAATATACCAGTGGAGAGGTACTCACACCTGATCTACTCAACATACTGTATTTCAACCTTTTCGCACACTCCAGCGTTCAAGGTGCACACTTTAAAGACTATTACTTTCTGAGCGCTATTCTTTAAATATTAGCAATTTCCTGGCATTTTCAACGAAAAAAACTTTCACCGCTTTAGTCAAATGTGTTGTTTAAGTGGAGTGGTCTTAGACATTTGCTTGTAAACCAAAAAACGCTCAGGCAACTGACTCGACGAAACAATCCTGGAAAAAATATGTAAATACTTTTTGAAAGTGTCAAAGTCAAATAACTGAAAAAGCAAGCACATTGTGGCAAACACAACTACCTGAGTGTCAGGGCGGCACGGGACTACGTGAAAAGGTCATGCGTCTGCCAGCACCATAGTGGAGCTCTCTGCATCTCACGGAGTGAAAAACAGCGCTCATGTGGCGCGGTCAGTGCGAAAAGGTTCATCTCCAATTGGCCTAGGTGCACAAATCAAGGAGAAAAGCAAATGAAGGAGGAAAGAGATGGAGAGAGTAAAAGAGAGAGACAGCCAGAGAGAGAGAGAGAGAATGAATGCTAAATTATACAATATCCACCCACTGACCCACCCAAAAGTAATATTTCCCTGTTGTCTGCTGGAGATCCTCAACCCTCGGCTTTCTTGTCGTCGTCGTCGTTATCATTGTGCGTGTGCCAGGTGAGTCTCTCCTCATAAAACGCGATGACGATTTGAGGACATTTTACGTTTGCCTGTCGAGCCGGAACGAGATCTGCTTCATCACTACCGTTCCTGGAAAGAAGAAAATAATTATTAAATATAAAATATCTTTCGTGAAGTTTTGAAAAACAAGTATGTAACGTAAGTGCTTAACATTAGCTGTATTACAAGGGAGCAACATACTAGTTGAAAGATCCGAGGATAGAAGTTAGATAAGCAAGAAGGAGCAAATCACACTAGAGTTACTAGAACAACTGTCAACCACCAGTTTATTTAGTTCAGACCTGTAAGAGACCCTCAGAAAAATTGCCGGAAAATCTGAAGGAGCTTAGCCCCCCACCTATCAAACCGAATGGGCACTGGGTATGATAATACAACTTTGTCTATATATTTGGGAAATGCAAATGGCAGCAAGAAATAGTCGTCTTTTCTTAGTCCGCATATTTGACAAAATAGAACGAGAACGAGGAAGAAGAAAAATGACAAAATAGAAAATTTTTGCTGGCAGGAGGAGATGGTCAGAATTTTTTTTAGCCAGAGTCAAAATAACCGGAACACTTACAGGTCTATTAGTTTGAAGCAATAAATAGGTACCAGAAACGAAACTCAAAGTAGCTGTATGCCAAATTGATCTGTTCCATTTGAAAGGCCTGTTTCCTGAGAATTTTGGTACCATTTTATCGCTCTTAGTAAATCTTTAGCTGTTTAAATATAATCAAATATTGCTTAATTCACTAACTGACTGCAACCCCATGTTTGACAGATAATAAAAGAGTTCCAAGTGCACTAAACCTCTCCACATTAACAGAGTACAATCACTGTAACATAGAGAGCCTAATTTTCTTATTTGACAGATCATTGCGAATCAGTATTTTATTGCCTCAAATTTGATAATCTGTCGTTATTTCGACATAAACACCAATCACTGTTCAAGCCGGCGCCACACCAGTCCACGCGGTGAGCGAATTAGACTATACTGAGTGCTTCATGTGTGGGGCGTCACATGCTTTCGGAGTTTAGCGAAAGTAATGATGCAAAACAATTCCAAACTGATGACCATTATTTTCACAGAAAATAACTGATCTTTCTAATACTATCTTGAGCCAGTTTTTACAAATTTAACGTACAAAATGATCTTTGAAAACTTGGGGGGTGTTAAGTATTTTACAGCGGTCGCAACTGCATAGTCATATGAGCGCACGGGACACACATTTTCAGCTGGTAAGAAATTTGGAATTTTGCCAGGGTGGCGGCCAAAGCCTACTTTTATTGATTTTGGGCCACAAAGGGATCTTTAAGGTGCCCAACTTCCACACGTGACCTCTTGAGATTTTTCGCCCTTGTCCGAGAAGGATAGGTGTAGACCTTTCCTACCAGTAGATCAGGGGTCTGGCTGAAAGACAGCTGTAAGGAGGAGCCATGGAGAAGCAGTAGAAAGACTGCAGAAGGAGTCAGGAGCCCAGAAAGCGGAGACAAAATCAGACAACAGAACATTAGAGAGCAGGAAAGGGGGTGAAAGGAGACAATTTTAGAGAAGAAAAATGTTTTTCAGTCACTAAACCCAAAAAATATACCACAGGAAACCCCACCCAAAGGTTTATAGTTCACCAATAAAAAGGTGGTAATTTAATGATCAATCTTTCCGCTAAGCATTCAAATGCACGGGTGTCAATTTTTTATCAGGTCGACCGCGAAGTGCTTTGCTGTCCACGACGATTCCCCAGTTCCACATACTCGAATATAATACAAACAACTAACATCATTTTAACGACAAAAAGCAGAAGAGCGAAATAGCAAAGAAACGGCAATCTGAAGGCCCCCCCCCCCCCATTCATTTCTAAAAAGGGCCAAATTCCATTAGTTTAAAATTGTCTCATGATCTGCGATGGACCTTGGTGCTTCAAGGGAAAAAGTAACTGTTCTCCGTCTCAAGACAGGTCGTATCAGACCGATGACTATCCAGCTAAAGTAGACCTGCATGTGAGCCTCAACCAGACTGTCTGAAAATTTTGCGCGCACCCCCCCCCCCCCAATAAGAGCTTAAATTTTGTGGGTGTCATAAGGAAGGACTTTTCCGAGTAACAAGCGACCACCCCAACAAACACAATAAAGAAGAGACCTAACCCTAACCCTAGAACTACCCAAAAAAAGAACCTGCAACGGGCCTCATGTAAAAAGGCCAGCACAAGTCCAAAATGAAAAAAAAACAAAAAAAACCCCACTCCAAAACAAAGAGCATGCATAAAAAATAATGGCCTACATCTACATTGCTATTATAATAGGGTTTGATACAATAACACAATAGAATTGGAGTATGAATCCTCCATACCATATATAGATCTAGATCTAGTAATCTAAATAAATCTAGATCGATATCTTGTAGAACAAGTGAATAGGAATAGGCCTTGAACTAAAAATCCGCATCCGATTCCGAAAAGAGGGACTCAGCTGAGTATAGATTCTAAATAATTCACGCACCTGATGAAATACTTTTTACCAACATTAATATTACAGCACAACCTATGACTACGATAGGGTTTGACACAATAGAATTGGAATATGAATCCTCCATTGAGGTCTATAATGATCTATAAAAATCTAGATCTAGATTCTATTAGAACAAGTCAAGTGAGTGAATGAATCCACACGATCTCAACAATTGAATTTGTCAACAAACGAAATTCAAAATGGCCGCTCGAGCACGAAACTGAAAGTAGATAATTTAGGTCGTCGTCCTTTTTCGTATTCGCATTTCTACTTAGGTTCCGACAATTATGTCGGAAACGCAGACGCCGGCACGAAAACGAAAGTGCCGACGGGAGAAAAAGGGGGCGCTGGCAGTCGGCCAGGCCTCGCACTACGCACATTGACTGATACAGGTGGGCCTAGCGATAGCATCGGCCGGTTCGCGGGTCGGGTCGCGATAGTCGGATTTCAGACGATTGTCGGCAAACATGTAGGTCTACTAAAGTCAAATAATTCCACACACTTCAAATAACAGTTAGCATTTGTATAGCGCAAGTTTCCACAAAACAGTAAGCTCTCTTTGCTTTACAAACTATTCTATTTCAGTTTCAGTTTGGTCACGAGTTTTCACATTTGAGTGCACGGGACTCGATTTGGTTCCCTTCACAATAGTTCACAGGACGGCTTCACCGACAACAAAACAACTAGCAGCAGCTACCAGTTGAAGCTCCTAATCAACACCTACCATTTCATGAGGAACATGAGCTCTCCACTGCTGTCTGTCGCACCAATAATTCTCTCCGGCGCTAACCCTCTGTCAAATCCCCGAGGCTTGTTGTCACCATCCTGATTTTAATACAGAAAAAATGACACACAACATTATGAAACATAGGTGACAATGGAAACATAGTGCGTCATCCTAGAAGGTTCTAAGCACTTTACAACACAGAATTATCACTCAACTAATGTAAAAAAAGGACAGAAATAGAGACTATTAACACACACACACACACACTACTTCCCGAACAACATTCTCACATTAAAAATTTACTGGCAAAGGACAGCGCTGAACGAAAAAGCCTTTAGATTTTTTTTTAAACTCTCAAACAGATTTGTGCCCCTGAAAGTAAATACAGAAAGACCTTCGCGAGGGAGAGTATGCAAAGCCCGAAAATCCTATTCACACCAGGAGAGTGGAATTGGTTGGAGTAACTGAGAAGCAAATTTTCAAGTACCTGAATCAGGGGTGTTACCAATACTTTTTCAGGCAATCAAAAAACAAAATTTAATGCCAAAAACAGTGATATGCAGAGCTTGTTATTAGCAGAGGAATTTTATACCTGTGTTGACTGGGCCGATTAAAATTTTTGAACTTCCCTCATAAATTATGTGGTACAACATGGCAATCGTATCACTGTCACTTCTTAAGCTAACATCAGTTTAACGAAAAATGATATTGCTTTAATTTTCAATGTCTATTTCACAAACAAGAAGCATAACCCAGATTGGCTATTTTGGCACAACCTATTTTCTTCAATATGATAATAATGATAATGGATTGCATTTATATAGCGCATATCCACTTATGCAATGCTCTATGCGCTTAACATGATACATATAATGGATTTACAAATCAATTTTAAAGGTACATAGTGTTACATACTCATGCAAACACATATTCACTCACGCACGCACCACACACATATACATACTCACATACATATGCACATACAAACTCACAACGATCTACAGTTTGGATGCATTCTGTCTAATCAAAATATGATGAAAATAGAAATGATTTTAGTTTCTTCTTAAAATTTCTAGATTTTCTGCTTCTCTGAGTTTTTGGAAGCCTATTCCAAACAAGTGGGGCAAAATATGAAAAAGAGCGTTGGCCATATGATCTGTAATTTATTTTAGGCTCAACAAGGGTTGTTTTGTCACTAGATAATCTGAGCATTCTAGGAGTCACATAGGGTGTTAAAAGCTGTTTTAGATAGTCCGGTGATAAATCAATTAAGCACTTGTAGCAAGTTAAACATTTTATATATGATACGCTCTTTCACTGGGAGCCAGTGTAATGCTTTTACAATAGGAGTCACATGATCATACTTTAGTTTTTTAGTAATTATTTTGGCAGCAATATTTTGTACTCTTTGTAGTTGTTGTAACTGTTCATCAGGTACACCAGCCAGTAAGGAATTGCAATAATCAATCCTTGACAATATAAGTGATGTTATTAAAGTTTTGGTGACACCAACAGATAGATATTTTCTAATGCTCCCTATTTTCTTCAGCTGGAGATATAGATTTTTACAAAGATTGGATACATGGTATTTCATTGACATATATCTTGATCTAGCACACCTAAATTTCTTATTTTAGTTTGGGCTGATATTTCGTGGCCATTGACGTTTATTCTGATATTGTCGATTTCATTGCATGCGCTGCTACGAAGAAATAATATTTCGGTCTTATCCTCATTTAATTTTAATTTGTTCTTGAACATCCATTTTCTTATATCATTGATACATCTGGCGATTCTATCTATGAGATTGTGTACATTGTCAGTTGTAGTGAATCCATACAGCTGTGTATCATCTGCATAAAGATGGTAATTGAGGGCATATAAAGAAATTATTGGTGACAGACTTTGCGTGTACATTGTAAAGATGACAGGACCAAGGACCGAACCCTGAGGAACTCCGTATTTTAGAGGTAACCTATCTGACACATCATTGCCAATTTTCATTGACATAAATCTATTGTCTAGATATGATTTAAACCACATTAGAACAGTACCTGAAAGTAAAAATGACTTTTCCAATCTCTCTAGTAAAATTTCGTGGTCGATGGTATCGAACGCTGCTGACAAATCAAGCAGAACCAAAACACATACTTTTTTATTATCGATTTCATTTAAAACATCAGATGATACCTTTAAAAGAGCGGTTTCCGTACTGTGGTGCCTTTTATAAGCAGATTGAAAAGGTTCTTCCATGTCATTGGCCTTTAGATGTTGTTGAACTTGACACAAAACGATTTCCTCCAGGATTTTTGATAAAAAGTTAAGTTTAGATTGGAAAATGGCCTAAAATTTCTCATGTCGTTTTCATCAAGACCTTGTTTTTTAAGTAAAGGTTTTACAATGGCTTGTTTGAAAAGATCAGGTACGATTCCAGTGGTGAGTGACATATTAATAAAACGAGTAACATATGGTGCGAGATCTTAGATGCACGTAACTAACAATGAAGTGGGTATTGGGTCTAAGTCGCATGTTTTAGCGGGGGACACTTTGATATACTTAATGACATCTTTCTCTGATACCACTATAAATTCACTCAATGTTGATTTGTTCATAATTGCAAGATTTTCACAACAACTATATTTGTATTTACATCTAACATATCAGAGTCTAAATCAGTTCTTATTCTTTCAATTTTATCATTGAAAAAGTGCAGAAAATTACAAAGTTCTTTATCAGTTCCAGGTGGAAACCGTGTACAATTCTCCCTTCCCAATAATTGATCAGACAATCGAAAAAGTTCCTTGCAGGAGTTTACATTTTGAAATTTGTTAAGATAGAATTGTCTCTTGTTGTTTTCAATCAGGGTGTTGACGTTACGTTCAGTTGCCAAAATCTGTTTGTGGACGTGGAGGCCTGTCTTTCTAAGCTGTCTCTTTCATCCTTCTCGGTAAGCTTAAAGTAGACACAGGATAGATTATGAACACATTCAACGCATAACTTTTATTTTTTTAAGGATATCCCCCCCCCCCCCCAAAAATTCAGTCTAACCCCCAAGAAGAGAAAAACCTTGCAAAATATTTAGCTAAAAATTACTCACCCCTGATTTCCCAACATCCTTCTTTTTCTTCTTTGAAGGGTCATCTTTAGCTCCGTTTGTGGTGGATTTTCTTTTCGTGCCTTTTTCAGAATCTCTCTTTTTCTTTTTCTCTTCAAACGCTGAGATCAAGTCTGGACAGTCTAAGTTCTCTTCTGGTTCCCATGTGTTTTCAGAGCTGTAGAGAGACAAAATAAAACAATGGGCATGAAATGCATGCACATGTTGGGGTAAGAAATAATTCTGTACCGAGACCAAAAGCACGACTCTTTACAACACGACGACTCTTTACAACAAGACCACTGTGCCTAAATCAAGGAATTTTAGTAGAATAAAATTTCAGACCTCTAAAAATATCCCTATGAACATCTATAGACTGAGGCGACGGTTTCAATGTTGAAGTTGGCCAAAATCTATTTATAACTGTTTGAACTTTCTAGTCGATCTTCCATGTCTCACATTCATGCAATTGCACCAACTTTAAAATGGAATTTAAACGATCTACCTCCAAACCTACACACTCATAAAGTCACCAAACCAATGAGTTACACTGAAACACACAAATAGTTGTAATAAAAAAACTTCCGGCAGAAAAAAAAAACTAAACTTTGAATGAGCACCCACAAGAACGACAACTTTCCCTTGTGGAAAACAGCACACATGGCCTACTGACAATTACCCAGCTTCAAATAATGGCTCATTTAGGGATCGGTGCTCACAAACCGATCGCCTGATTCGCGACCTTCGAAACAATTTGAGGCCTTAAGTCAGGCAATGGGTTTGTGCCACAATGGTCGCTTACTGTCCTAAATCTGGCTAGCCCTATCTAACCAAACCGAACAAGCCAATAGGCGTGTGCACTTTTGTCTATATTTGGTGAAACGCAAATGACAGCCGGAAATGCATCTTCCCTTTCTTAGTTCGCATTTTCGTTCCTATAAATATATTATTTGCTAAAATAGAAAATTTTGGCATGCCAGTTATATTTGGTCGGAAAATTTAAGTCAGAGTCAAAATTGCAGGAATTCCCGCAATCTCTTTGTATGTATATTAACAGGAGATTACTAAATTTAGTTTTACACCAAAAAAAAAACAAAAAAAATCTTACTCTGGATAGCCTTTCCATTTCAATAAATATTCCTTCTTTCCACCACGCATCCGAGAGTCGACAACTTTTTCAACTGTGAATTCTTCTTCTTCCTCCTCCTCCTCTCCTTCGACTGGATCTTCTTTCTTTTCTGTAAAAAGAAATAATTTTAAAATACATAGATTAGATAAATACATACAATACCAAATACCAATGAATGTCCAGCCCAAGCACTTGAATAATAAATGACGAGAGGTAATGATGAATTTTTGACCCTATACTAGCCTATACATCCAACTGAAAATGAAAGTAAAAGTTAAAGTTATTCATACACTTAAAAATCTCTAGCTCTAGAAATTGAATTCGATGCAAAAATGCTTCCTCCTCGTCCTCGCAGAATGAAAGGATGACGCCTAAATCTCGCAAATAACCAAAAAATCTTGAGATCAGAAACCGTTCGGAGAAAAAAAGAGTTCAATTTTATTTTCCCCAGTGCTCGGAGAAATAGTCACTTCGTAACAAAAATTTTAAGCTACCATTACCATTTATCAATCCCTGAGCCTGATTGATGTCACCCATTTCAATTCATTTCAGCTGCTCAAATTAACCAAACACAGGGAGTGTAAAAATTAAGTCAAAATAATAAATACATTAATCAATGCTCCGCGTTTGCTGACTCTAACGACAGTTCAAAATGGTGGAAAAAGATGAAAAAACAAACAATACAAATACTTTACTTACCAGCAGACATTGTGAAAGTTTGTCACCTCAGCAACTCTATTCTGAAACAAAAATTGTTCATACTTAATTGGCATCATCATGAAGGCCTAGGACTCCTTTTCACAACTTGGACAAAGCTTTCAAAAATCTAAAGTTGGTTAAAAATGAGATGTGTCTTCACTGGATTGTAAATTACAATAAAAATATCCTTTGAATGAATCAATCCATGTCAACAACTGAACAAAGGGGGAAAAATGCGCAGTCTACAAAATGAGTCCAGCCCAGACAAAAACAAACAGCAACAGTTGATCTGCAATAGAATATAGAATTTAAAAAATAGGGAAACAAAAAACGACGCACGTGTGTACTGTAAACATGAAGCTGCAGCGAGCACCTAGCACACCTCTCTGATTGGCCCAAATATACAGATGACATATTTCCGTCATCTTCCAGGGTGTCCCCACAGACTCTTGGATTTCCCTCGCCAGTAATTTAACAAGTTCTCGAAGAGTTTGTGCTTTTTGGTAGTCTAGTAATTTATGTCGTCTTTAATAAACAATCCCAGCAATTCTCGTTTCATAAATTTACCTTCTCAAAGTTGTAAACACACACAAGGGCACACAGCCCAAGTAGTACGCGATGAAACTTAGTTTTCTAGTAACGCAGCCCACCACATGTTTAGCGCAAAGCAGGCCCGCCATGGTGAGATCTAGCCAAAAGGCAAGGGAAGCCCCAGAAGACGACAAAAATAGATAGGGAAATTTCATCTATATTTGGGCCAATCACAGGTGTGCTAGGTGCTCGCTGCAGCTTCATGTGCTGACTAGATCTAGATTCTAGATCTCACCACCGTGCCGGCCCGCTTTGCCACAACGAAGTAGCTATTCGGACTCAAATTCCAGTGCGAGAGCGCAAGCACCGGTTGTACCATAAGCGAGGTCTATTATACTCGAGTCCGAATAGGATAGTCTCCTGTTGCTATTCGGACTTTAAACTAGTGGTAGGCTATTACACTGCGCTTCATGACTACAAAGGGATCAAAACATAAAATTCATAATCAGTCCTTATAAGACAGCCCCCCCCCCCCCCCCTCCACTTTCTCTCTCTCTCTCTCTCTTACTTTTCCTTTTTCTTTCTCCATCTTACTTACCCACGCCCGCCCCACCACCTTCACCCCCCTTTTTTTGGAAATAGATCTAGATCCTATATTTAATTTCTTCCCATACCGTTGCCCACTGCCCGGCCCTACTATTATATTATCCTTTGTAAAGAAAAGACCACAGTTCGCACAGGGTCACCACGGTCACAGACCTGCCACTCTATGAAACCTCGAAATCAGGATATCAGGGAGAAAAAATCGGGATTTGGTGAAAAAAATCGGGATCAACAGCAAATCACCAAGGTGACTCCCAAAGCTGACTTAATATTTTTCCAGGGGTGACCATCCATTACTTGGCCTATATGCACTCTGAGTGTCTTTGTTTGTTTGCAGGCGCGCGCGCGCGTGTGTGTGTTTGCGCGCGCGCACGAGTTATTATTTTTTTTTAATCCTGAAGAATCACTTCAAGCACTCCTAGTCCAAGTGTCTATACACCCACCCCACCAATAAATCCTAAAATACATGAACCTAAGTTGACCCCACCAACGGACGGTCCCCGAAACGCAGAACTCACACGGCGATGATATGTCACGTGACGCGAATAAAACAATTTTACTAACGGTTCCGACTAACTGCGCGTTCACACAAAACACTCGGATGAGCGACAGTCGTTCTACTTCTAGATCTAGTACTCTAGGATAACGACGGCGGCCAACCGACCAATTGTACCAACAAATCTCTTATCCCCCATAATGCGTTCAGACTAAAGCAACGACAACGGCCGTATGTTAGTCTTGTCAGCACAGTTACATGTAGTTGTGTGAGGGTTAGAGAAAGACAGTCGCTCGTCCGAGTGTTTGGTGTGAACACGCAGTTACCAGACAGCGGACAAGGCTTGTTTTGAAAGTAACAGCAGAACTACGAATATTATCGATTATTTGTATGGGCCACCTTTATTCTCACCCGGGATGAGAATAGTGCAGGCGAGTCTTTTGGCTATTCTCACCCGGTGCGCGTTCACCGTTATAGCCTAGATCTAGGCCAACAAAATTTTGCGTTCACCCTAAACCACAGAATTCTACAGTGATAACAGAAAAATTGTAGAATTCTGTGCCGTGAACAAACTTTCCATTACAACTGTTTTGCCCAGAAGTTCTTGCAAGATCAACTCCTCCCCTCTTCTCTCTGTCTCTGTCTCTTTCTGAATACTGTCTATCGGTGTGGGCGATCAAATTGACCAAAACAAAGTTAAAATATGATGTTAAAACACAAAAGTAAATTAATTTGGTTGTCTACAAAGATGCTACGGCTATTTAACTTTTCGAATCGAGCCGAACTACGCGGGTCGCCATTTTGTTTTGCCCGGAAATTCTCGCGCTACTCCTCTCTCTTTTTCTCTCTCTCTCTCTCTCCACTGCCCACAGACAAAATTGTACGCTTTTAGTAGGCTACAGTTGTAATGGAACGTTTGTTCACGGCACAGAATTCTACAATTTTTCTGTTATCACAGTGTGGAATTCTGTGATTTAGGGTGAATGCAAAATTTGGTGAACGCGCACCGGGTGAGAATAGCCACAAGACTCGCCTGCACTATTCTCACTCCGGGTGAGAATAGAGGTGGCCATCTAGTAGACCTAATTCTACCGTACTCAACCCCTACCCCAAGCCCTAAATTCTGCTGTCTCATAATGGTTCCTCGTTACGGAAGTCCTCCCAGATCTAGATCTAGAATCTAGAAATCTAGATTAGACTGTAGTGTAGTGTAGGTGCTCGGAAAGTGGCTATTCGCACCCGCCCGGAAGTTCTCGCAAGATCAACTCCTCCCCTCTTCTTTCTCTCTCTGTCTCTTTCTGAATACTGTCTATCGGTGTGGACGATCAAATTGACCAAAACAAAGTTAAAAAATGATGTTAAAACACAAAAGTAAATAAATTTGGTTGTCTACAAAGATGCTACGGCTATTTAACTTTTCCAATCGAGCCGAACTACGCGGGTCGCCATTTTGTTTTGCCCGGAAATTCTCGCGCTACTCCTCTCTCTCTTTCTCTCCACTGCCCACAGACAAAATTGTACGCTTTTAGTAGGCTACAGTTGTAATGGAACGTTTGTTCACGGCACAGAATTCTACAATTTTTCTGTTATCACAGTGTGGAATTCTGTGATTTAGGGTGAATGCAAAATTTGGTGAACGCGCACCGGGTGAGAATAGCCACAAGACTCGCCTGCACTATTCTCACTCCGGGTGAGAATAGAGGTGGCCATCTAGTAGACCTAATTCTACCGTACTCAACCCCTACCCCAAGCCCTAAATTCTGCTGTCTCATAATGGTTCCTCGTTACGGAAGTCCTCCCAGATCTAGATCTAGAATCTAGAAATCTAGATTAGACTGTAGTGTAGTGTAGGTGCTCGGAAAGTGGCTATTCGCACCCGCCCGGAAGTTCTCGCAAGATCAACTCCTCCCCTCTTCTTTCTCTCTCTGTCTCTTTCTGAATACTGTCTATCGGTGTGGACGATCAAATTGACCAAAACAAAGTTAAAAAATGATGTTAAAACACAAAAGTAAATAAATTTGGTTGTCTACAAAGATGCTACGGCTATTTAACTTTTCCAATCGAGCCGAACTACGCGGGTCGCCATTTTGTTTTGCCCGGAAATTCTCGCGCTACTCCTCTCTCTCTTTCTCTCCACTGCCCACAGACAAAATTGTACGCTTTTAGTAGGCTACAGTTGTAATGGAACGTTTGTTCACGGCACAGAATTCTACAATTTTTCTGTTATCACAGTGTGGAATTCTGTGATTTAGGGTGAATGCAAAATTTGGTGAACGCGCACCGGGTGAGAATAGCCACAAGACTCGCCTGCACTATTCTCACTCCGGGTGAGAATAGAGGTGGCCTTAACTTTTCGAATCGAGCCGAACTACGCACGCGGGTCGCCATTTTGTTTTGCCCGGAAATTCTCGCGCTACTCCTCTCTCTCTTTCTCCACTGCCCACAGACAAAATTGTACGCTTTTAGTAGGCTACAGTTGTAATGGAACGTTTGTTCACGGCACAGAATTCTACAATTTTTCTGTTATCAGTGTAGAATTCTGTGGTTTAGGGTGAACGCAAAAGTTGGTAAACGCGCACCGGGTGAGAATAGCCACAAGACTCGCCTGCACTATTCTCACTCCGGGTGAGAATAGAGGTGGCCTTAACTTTTCGAATCGAGCCGAACTACGCACGCGGGTCGCCATTTTGTTTTGCCCGGAAATTCTCGCGCTACTCCTCTCTCTCTTTCTCCACTGCCCACAGACAAAATTGTACGCTTTTAGTAGGCTACAGTTGTAATGGAACGTTTGTTCACGGCACAGAATTCTACAATTTTTCTGTTATCAGTGTAGAATTCTGCGGTTTAGGGTGAACGCAAAAGTTGGTGAACGCGCACCGGGTGAGAATAGCCACAAGACTCGCCTGCACTATTCTCACTCCGGGTGAGAATAGAGGTGGCCTTAACTTTTCGAATCGAGCCGAACTACGCACGCGGGTCGCCATTTTGTTTTGCCCGGAAATTCTCGCGCTACTCCTCTCTCTCTTTCTCTCCACTGCCCACAGACAAAATTGTACGCTTTTAGTAGGCTACAGTTGTAATGGAACGTTTGTTCACGGCACAGAATTCTACAATTTTTCTGTTATCAGTGTAGAATTCTGTGGTTTAGGGTGAACGCAAAAGTTGGTAAACGCGCACCGGGTGAGAATAGCCACAAGACTCGCCTGCACTATTCTCACTCCGGGTGAGAATAGAGGTGGCCTTAACTTTTCGAATCGAGCCGAACTACGCACGCGGGTCGCCATTTTGTTTTGCCCGGAAATTCTCGCGCTACTCCTCTCTCTCTTTCTCCACTGCCCACAGACAAAATTGTACGCTTTTAGTAGGCTACAGTTGTAATGGAACGTTTGTTCACGGCACAGAATTCTACAATTTTTCTGTTATCAGTGTAGAATTCTGTGGTTTAGGGTGAACGCAAAAGTTGGTAAACGCGCACCGGGTGAGAATAGCCACAAGACTCGCCTGCACTATTCTCACTCCGGGTGAGAATAGAGGTGGCCAGGTGCTCGATCGCTGTAGATCTAGTGCTGTAGCTTCATGTTTACATCCTCCACATCCTGAGGCCTCAGAGTCCCAACAATAACAAAACTCTAAAGGCAGATCTAGAGATCTAGATCTGTGTAGAAAAGTGTAGAAATTTGGGATGCTTAACTACACGTAGAGTTGCTAATTAGAGATTAAATAAAACGCACAATCCTCCAAAAATAGTCTCTTCATCAGCACTCTTTTGGGCATCAAAATTAACTAAAGCCCGCCATTTTGTCAATGACAATGATGAGAACGATGATGAGTCTGATCTATGCACACCGAACAGGATGAGGATATGCACGTCGTATTCACGAAAGATCTTATAACGTCTAGTGCACTAGTTCATGGCAAGCAAATATTCAACAATAATAACGATATTAAAGTAAAACAACATAAATTTTAATTTGATAACTCACCACTAGGCTGTACACAATGGTGCCTGCAGCTGCGACGCATGCGTAAAGCAACATCCGGGAAATTATACGCGCGAAGTTGTTCTGCTCCAGATTTTTAGTATTTTTTATAAAAAGATGGCCTCAAAACGCAAACAACGCACAGAACAAAGTACCTGAGTGCGTCATTTACTTTCTGCCGAATTTTGATGACTGCAATGAATGATAGTGGTGCTTAAAAGAAAAAGAAAGATTCTTTTCAAAATAATGATAGTGGCCTATCAAATCAAAGGAGCTCTGATGAAGTTTTGAGGGATTTTTTTTTTCTGACACAGAAACGAAAAAAATGCTGCTACAATTTGGCCAACTTGGCTAGATCAAGAAACTAGAATATCTAAAATTAGTAAAAGTAAAAGATCTAATCTAGATCTAGAATCCAGGCTAACGTGCTAGAAATCATCATCATCATCATCATATAGTGCCATCTGCTGCAGACATCGACGATCATGGCTCTCCTTTCACTCCTTTAATCGGACCCTCTTTTAAAAAAAAGAAAGAATAAAAAAGAAAAGCTTCTTTAACCAACCCATATTTCCTGTAGTTTTAGGTCAGTGATCGATTTTTCCTTGTTACCCATTCTGTTTAGTTTCTCTCTACTAATTAGTTAGCCTAGGTTTGCTCTGAGCCTACCCCTGCCTCCTTAAAAATTTTTTTTTTTTTAGTGAGAGCTAGATATTCAAAACCTTTAATGGCTATTCAGATGTCCCAAAAAGTGCATGTCTTTTCCTGATTGTAACTACTACTACTACTACTACTACTACTACTACTACTACTACTACTACTACTACTTACTAGATCTAAGTACTACAGTTGTTGCTGCAGCTACTGCTGGTCTACGCAAACGTGTCTACGACTTGCCTTCCGAGGCCACTACTGTCAATATTTTTTAGTCAATAATGCCGATTATCATAAGGCTACCAATCGCTACTTCAGGTCTACTACCACAGAATTCTACACTTAGTTAGAATTCTATGCCTACAACTAAATTACTTTTAGATCTACTAGCTGTTTGCTGCCACAACTGATGCTAATCAAACACCATATTAATGACTCTAAATGAACGCGTGTTCGTATATTTTAAAGATAATACGTACAATACAAGTGTAAATTGTAGATCTAGAGTGATTTCACAGCGCCGTGTTAAAAGCAGCCAAATAAACAATCTTGCTGACTCACTGCCAAAACAGAACAACCAAAACAGAACAACGCTTGCATGAGCAACAAAAACATTAATTGTACAACATGGATACGCCTTCGGCTCTCTTCCTGAAAAGAAGAGTGCAGTGAGGTGCTGTGATCAATGCAATCACTACTTCACCTATTCAATTCCAGTTAATCTGGGCCTGGGGGGGGGGGGTGTTTGTTTGTTTGTTTGTTTGTTTGCTGTTTTTGGTTTGTTAGTTTGTTTACATCTATTTTTTCTACCTATGAAAATAGAGTGAAAATACTTTGCTGGTCATTTGATAAAAGAGACTCAGGCTACACTGTCAGCAGAAGACGTAAAATTCAGACTCATTTTATTGGTAAGAGAAAGACTTGGGCCGTTACTTACAGGTGGTGCTCTTCTGGTGACCCGGTGTGGTTTGCGCCTCTTCTTTCCTTTCCTCAAACATATCTGTAATATCATCTTTATCTCTCATCTTTTTTTTGTGTTTTTTTTTGGTGGTGTTGGCCTATGTTTTCTACCTAATACAGCAATATCTTCGGCACTTTATGACCAATTTGTGTTGCAAATACCGTGAAACTTTTTTTTCAGAAACGAAGAGAGAGGCTTAGACCACAGACACAAAATAATAGCGATTTAACGGCTGGGGAAAAGAAAACCAGACGTTGCTCAAGGCCTAACCTAGATTACAAAGTTATGTCTTCTCAGTAGGCTACCTAGACTTTTGAGAAATTTGAAGTTAAAATGTTTTACTTTCACTTAACCGAGCTTTTTCAAATGTAATTCTAGAATCTTGTTAACGACCGACCCGAATAATCTTAAGATTTAGATACATCAGATAGAACATGCAGTTTTTTCTTACTCATGTGGTCTTAGTAACTCAAAACGACTAAGAATTGGGCTTTGAGCTCTTATAAGTGTGTGAGAATTTAAATCGTTCAGTCCATACCTGATCACGTAGGCTTCTTGCTTTTCCTCTTCTTCTCCTCGATTCCATCATACTTGAAGTCTGGTATCTGTCATAAATTGGGCCGTCCTGCTCAGTTCATCTGTCGGGCCGTATAGCTTCTCTTGTAGCGTCAGTGGGGTTGGCCAGGTTTCCTGTCTCAGGGCCCTGTGTGTCTTGCAGTGCTGAAGGATATGTTCAACAGTTTGGTCTGCCTCTCCACATTGGCATTTTGGTGATTGTACTAGTTTAAAACATGTGTATATATATTATCTCAGTCTTGTGTGTTGTGTCCTTAGTCTGAAGGTAATCACTTGTTCTTGGTGGGCTCATGGTAGCCATCTGGTGTCTGAGGTGCTTTAAATAGTGTATTTATAATAGTTTTTATTTCTGTGTAGTTAACGCTGTTGTCTGGTTTCTCTTTCTTTCTGTGCTCCTTGTTTGGCCATCCTGTCTGCCTGCTCATTTCCCAAGACACCACAGTGTGATGGAATCCACTGCAGCATGATCCTCAGACATGAGATGTCCTCAATTACTTTTCGTAGCCTTGGTAGTTTGCCTGAAGTGATTGCCTGCAGTACTGACATGGCATCTGTTAGGAATACTACTTGGCTTAGGGGGCTTACCACATTCTTGATGATGTTTGCTGCATGTATTATAGCCTCCGTCTCTGCCCTGTAGTTTGTACAATGTCGCCCCGTTGGGACTGCCTCTGCTTGTCGTCGTCCATTTGGGAACTGTACCTACACTCCGACTCCTCCTCTTTTCACAGCATCAGTGGCAGATCCGTGTGTACAGATCCTTATCCATGCTTCTCATGGGTATCTTTGTTCAAGCATGGACAGGGTGAGGGACTTTTTCTTGCTTTTAAAATGAATGAAAATCGAATTCACTTGATGCAGTTGCTTCAGCCTGACTCTCAGGCGACCCATCTCACCCTTCTTTCAATTCTGCAGGCTAATTATTACTCTGCTCTTCCGATTTCCCTACGTTCTTTTCTAACTGGTTGCACGACAGGCGTTTTATACGAGAGGGGCTCAAGAAGTCTTTGAATAAAGAAAGAGGGAGCTTTGGAACTTGGCACACATACATGTACTTTTATTCCTCTATTCACCAAGTAGAACGTCACACATTTCTGCCTCCTCTCTTTGGCCTTCAAATGTCCTTGAGAGAAAAATGACCCAATATGGCCCCCAAACCAGCCTTCAACAGCTTCAATGGCGTCCTCGTTGTCATGGAAATTGCGTCTTTAGAGTGATTTTTTAAGATTAGGAAAAAGAAAAAAGTCTAAGAGGGGGGGGGGTAAGTCTGGTGAGTAAGCTGGGTGTGTCAAGATTCCAAAGTCGCACTGTTCTGCTGTCTGGACTGCTTGTTGTACCCCGTGCGCAGGGGCGTTGTCATGCAGTAGGAGGACCCCATAACGGAGTTTTCCACGCCTTTTTCTCACAAATTCAGACCGCAATTTTATCAGCAACCCCGAGTAGTAGTCTCCTGTGATTGGTTTTCCATTTCCAGGTTGTAATATTAATTTTATCTATGTTAGTCTTAGTCAAGGGAAATAATAATTACTTTTTTCTATATGTATTATGTATTTTTGGTCTTCAATCAATATAAATGAGTGTTGTCCCTTGTCCTACGTGGAACATTGGAGTAAAGGCTCAAACAGAGTGGACGCGGCAGCGAAGCGGGGGCGGCGAAGGATTTTCCAGCGCGGGGGACACGTGGAAAAAAGACGCCCGATGCAAACAGAGTGGACGATGGTCGGAATTTTTTCTCATGATTTTCAGTTTTCAGTCGTCTTTTTTTTTTATAGTAGAGGGTTTTACGGCGCTCGCAACTGCATAAGGTCATATGACAGCCAAGGGGTGGGTGTCAACAGAGAAGTCTTTACAAGGAATCAGACTTACTCTGCTCACCTCTCTAGTTTCAACAGCACAAGGTCTGCTTCGAATATCAAGGCACCCCGGAAATAGCAGGTCACAAGAGAGTGACAAACACACAAAAGAAGTAGAGGAAAATGACAATAGTAAGGATTAAGAAAAAAAAAAAAGCAGCAGTTCCCTGTTGTAGATCTGACAAAGCTATGAGCGTGACATGAGTCAGCCCATTTACAATTCTACTGTGCTTGAACAAGAAATGTCCACCTTTGGGAATGGCCTAAAGACACTAGAGTCAGTGGCACTGCCCCGGGGGGGGGGGGGGGGTTCAGTCGTCTGTTACGAGTTACAGTTGATCATAAATTCAAGTGGATGAGGAAGAAGTTTTTTTTTACGTGGTTAATGTTGTATTGGTTGAACAGACGACGGGGAAGTCGACGTCGATGTTGGGTACATGAAAGCAAACAACAGAGAAGCATAATTATAGATTTAGATCTACGGCGAGTACCACCGCCTCATAAATCAGATTCTGGACGACAAAGAAAAACGCCTCAAATGCATAAGAATGAAACTCTCTCAACATTTCAATGTTTGTTGTAAAAGGTGGTTCCTCTCATTACAAAGCAGTGGACTAATTTTCGAAGACCATTGTCTCCTGTTGAACGCTTGGTCATTACACTGAGGTAAGTTTCTTTTTTTTATTCCTGTAATATGACATTTCTTTGTTTTTATTCTGATTTAAAGAAGGAGAGAGTGCAAATATTGCAGTCTAATGTCCCTTTTTAACACAAGTGAGGTCATGTCAGAGACGGAGCAGTGAAGACAGATTAATGTGCTGCTCCACACAGATAACCGCCCGTTAACATCAGAATATTAGTCGAACTAGTTATCTCTGGTCGACATCATATTAATTACAGAATTACCAGACAAATAATGACAGTACGTGCTATGAGAGTAAATTTCTTTGTCCAACTTAAGAAGTGAATGTATTGTGGCGACACAAT